GCGGTTTCTGCTTCGGCGTCCGCACAGAGACGTGCAGACGCGCTCTCGGCGGCCTTGCTCGCGCATCGCATGGGCTTGTTTACCATGCGATGAGATGTTGGAAAGTGGACGCGGACCAACAAGTGCAAACCCCGTCCCAAATGATTTGGGACGAGTATCCATTTAGTCAATCAGTCACTAAAGTGACTGATGGTTAAGGGGGGGGTGATGTAACGGGGTGAATCGTTACATAACAATTTATAAGAAATTGTTAATAGAATATAACTATAAGAGTTATATTCTCAGAATATTGTCATAAGGACAAATATTATGTTGCACTTACGAGTAGTTCCTAATTGGTTGATATAGGCCATTATATCAACCAACGAAGACGCGCCACGACAGACGCACGCAATGAGTGGTGATCAGATAACTGATTTACACATTTGTATTTAGACATAGTTAGATGAAGATAAATAGTGATTTATTGCGGACATTGACTATGCTAAATACAGTTCTACTTTTTTACTCTAACCAAGTACTCGCTTCTTCTTACCGTCTTCCTCTGCACGTACGAGTGTACGTGAAGTTACGAGGCACCGCCTTATTCTGTCATCAGAATAAGTGGCTTGTACTGTCACCAGTACAAGCTTCAGGGTGCCCCGTTACAGTTAAGTCTTCCTCTGACTTAAGGGGCTGTGTAGCTCCGCTACACTTGGTAGCACTAGTAGTCAATCTACGCCTGAGTCTTTAAGACTGATCCTCTGTGGGGATGGAAAACTCCATTCCCCTATCTGAGGCCCAAAAGGTTGCGCTTGATAAGCTGACCGCATCTTTGGGTCCAGAGTACGTGGAGTTCCTTGTTTTACAAGGTCTTGAAGTGCTTAATGCACGTGTTGAAAGCTTCATGCAGTATGAAGCGACCCTTTTAGTGCAGGTCCAAGACCAAATAGCGTCGACTATGCCTACACGCTACGTGTCTGTACCAGACGAAGAGGCTAAGCCTCGTCCACTTAGAGTGGAAGTAAAAAATTACTCCGGTAAGGAGGGTGAGAACCTCATCCTCTGGATCCGTGAGATCGAGATGGCCATGAGATCAGGTCTGATCACGCTTGATCATCAACAGGTCTCGCTGGCTATCTCGAAGCTCGTTGGTAGAGCTAGAAATGGGCCTTGACGTGTAGCACGTCGGTGGACATAGCGTTTCCCACATGGGAGTCGCTCAAGTCACAATTGGTACAGGTGTTTTCTCCACCTAACCAGGCTTAACGGGTGCGTTCACGCTTTCTTTCTAACCGCCAGGGTAAAAATGAGCTATCGGACTTTGTCCAAGAGCTGCGAACGCTCATGGCTGCAATGCAGTCTGACCCTCTGCCTGAAGCAGTCCATGTGACTATCTTCATGGAAGGTCTACGTACTGGCATTGCCAGAACCGAGGTTTTTCGGGTACACCCCTCTACGTTTGAAGAGGCTGTGAGAATTGCTCTTAATGCTGAGCATAACTTCAAGTCGGCCAGACTTGGTTGGAATGGATTCAATCCTCGCTCTGTGAGAGCAAACTATTCGGGTACCACTGCCTATAATAGGCCGGAACCGATGGATCTCAGCTATGCTGAAGATGGAGGTGAAGCTGAGCTTCAAGCTGCTGAGCAGCAACATGTCGTACGACGATGCTTTACGTGCGGAAGCACTAAACACTTGCGGCCTGGTTGCCCTTTGCGTAAGCAACGCCAGGCTACGAGCCAACACTCGACCCCGAGTCAGAAGTCTGGCATGGCACGGGGAAATACCGACACCCAGTAGGCGCGGGGCGCCCTACTGAGGAAGAACTATGTTCAGTTACACCTTTAGAAGGTAAAGGAATGCAGGGCTTAGCCCCAAAGAGTATTATACCTACAGGTATGGTGCGTGGATACAAGTCTGGCTTGTTGGTCGCCGAGGCGAAAATTAAGGGCTTTGAGAAGCCTTGGTCGATATTGATCGATTCTGGAGCGTCTTGCAATTATGCTCGACGCCGTTCCCTTGAGGAAATTTAGCGTTATGCTGAGGCGCTTACAGCGCATGAGGGTGATTCTATCACGGTTCGTTTAGCGACTGGAAGTCGCGTAACTGTGCCTAAAGTTCCATTGAACTTAGGTATAAAGTTTTTAGACTTTGACAGTATTGAGCGCTGTCTTGTCCTAGATTTGGACTCGAGATATGATCTCATCCTAGGTATGGCTTGACTTGAGCGCCATGAGCCATGGATTGATTGGAGGTCCAAGACCTTAGGCGTTACGCGCAATGTTCCTAGCGAAGCTTTGGAGAGTCATGAACCCACCTTCGCTAGGCAACAAAAACGCTATTGGCGCGAGCCTTTGACAGAAGATGTCAATGTGCTGGATATTGGAATGTCCGAGTTATCTAACTCCAATGTTACACACATAAGCTTCGAGCCTAGCTCGTCTAAACTAGTGAAACGGCACGTACTCCGTTGAGTGGTACTCGTTGTGATAACGAGTCACTGCATGCTGAAAGCATGGTTGGCCTAGGGCCGAGTGATCAAGGATGTGATTCCTTTGATGTGTGTATGGTGGCACGTGAAACTACACCGAGTGCGGTCGGCCGTGAGAGCACCGCACTGAATGTCGGTAATGACATTTTTGGCGAAACGCCATTTAGTGTGGGCGGCCGTGAAGGCACCACGCTTAACGTCGGTAATGGCGTTGTTGGCGATACGCCGTATAGTGTGGACGGCCGTGAGGGCACCACACCTAATGTCGGTCAAGACAAAAGCTCTCGTATAGAGCGTACTATGGTTGGTAGTAACCATGGAGACAATATTGTCCCGACCCCTAAGGGGTGTAAGGTCTCGAAGAGACGATCGAGACGCCGGGTAGCTACTTATAAGCGCCAGGCGTCCTCACAGTCACATAGGGATAATACACTATATACACTTGTTAATGGAGTGACTGGTCGGGTTGATGGCAGTGTTTGTCTTGAAACCCTTCCATCCGTGGACGCTCTTTGTGAGCTAGACGAATTGTCTGATGGCGAGTTTAGCCAGGCCTTAAAGGCAGGAGAGTTATCCGAGTTAGCGGTCATTAGACCTAATACTGAGTTGATTCTTCCTCGTTAATGGATATGTCTGTCCTAGAGGATACAAAGGCGGCACTTAGTGCACGAAGTGGATCTTCGATCCTTAAAGATCCTTTGGATCCGTTCTATCCTTTAGTTAAGGAATTTCAATATGTGGTGTGCCACAACCCACCTTCTGCCTTACCTCCCGATAGAGGTGTACGTCATGAGATTGACTTGGTTCCTGGAACTAAATTCTGTGTAACACGGCAGTGGCCTTTGCCTAAAGAGCAGTGTGACGTCATTGACGAATTCTTTCGTGCAGCAAGCGGCTGGAATGGTTCGTGAGAGTAAATCTCCCCATTCAACACCGACATTTTGTGTCAAAAAGCCAAATGGCAAGTGGCGTATTGTGCATGCTTATAATAAACTTAATGCAGCCACTATACCGGCGCAGACGCCTATTCCTAGAAAGATTGTCCTTCAGAACAATAAAGCAGGATGTACATTGTACAGTGCACTCGACTTAGTCGATGGTTATTATCAACTGCTCATGCGAGCAAGTGATATTCCGCTAACAGCGGTGAGTACTCCGAGCGGTGGGCTCTGGGAGTGGCTCATTATGCCACAAGGGCTATCTAACGCCCCGGCTACATTTAACCGGTTGGTAACGCAACTATTCAGACCTCTTCGAGGCTATGCACAAACGTACTTTGATGACATTTTTGTCCATAGTCGTGCAATGAATGGGCGATCAGATGTGGATAACCACATCGATCATTTACGAACGGTGCTCGGGTGTATGCGGAATAATAAGCTGTATGCGAACGCATCGATGTGCTCATCTTTGGTGCAGAAGAGATTCCCTTTCTAGGGTGCTTCATTGGGAAGCGAGGCCTTCGAGCAGATCCCGCTAAGGTAAAAGCCATAGTCGATTGTCCAGTTCCCAAGAACCAAAAGGACTTGCGTAAGTGGCTTGGCCTTGCCAATTACTTACATAAGTACATTGCGAATTACGCAGATATGGCTCGGCCATTGTCCAATCTCCTTAAAAAGGATGTGGATTGGTGTTGGAGTAACACCGAACATGATACTTTTGAATTAGTTAAGGAGAGTCTCCTTCATGCACCAATATTGGCTTTGCCCAATCCTGATCGGCCTTTCAGTGTCGTCTGTGACGCATCTGACTTTGCCATAGGCAGTGCTCTGTTACAAGCAGATGTCGATGGACGCGAACGCGTCATCGCATTCGAGTCTCGACAGCTGAAAGCTGCCGAAAAGAACTATCCAGTTCATGAAAAGAGCTACTTGCTATGAAGTACGCTCTTTTCAAATTCAGAGTACATCTGCTTGGCCAAAAACAACAAGCTGATGCCAAAGGCAGAAATTGTATTGAACGTTATGAGGTCGGAGACCAAGAACTACTCAATGCTAAAAATCTACCTACAAATGTAGTGTCTGCTGTCTTCAAGACAAAGTTGCGTCCATGCTTTATTGGACCGTTTACGGTCACGGCCAAGAAGGAACTTGCGTATACGCTAAACCTTCCGCGCAAATTGCGCACACATATAGTGTTCTACGTAGGCTTACTTAAGCCGTACCGGGATCCTTCCCATGTTAACTTGGAGGCGCTTGCGCCGACGACAAGGGCACTGCCCCGGATTGCTGTAGGCGAATCAGCAAGTCCAACTGAGCCTCGCTCCGAGTTTGAGCTTGCTCCATCGCCTGAAGGCGGCTTTGCATCGCATCCGGCATGCACTGGGACTTACCCAAGGCCTCTTGAAGCCCCTTCACTTCGAGAACCAATTTCTCGTGGGCCTCCACCGGTACACCGGCCGCCAACGACTTTGCTCGATGAGCATGGGTGTCATCAATTTCATGCCGAGAGACTACTGAAACGACGTCGTCGTCAGGGCCAATACCAGTATCTGGTAAAGTGGCGTGGGTACCCTGAGTCTGAAAACTCATGGGAATTTGAGGTACCCCTTCGGCAAGACTGCCCATATGCTTTGGAGGCTTTTGAGCATCGTGGCCATGGTCGTCTCGAGGCCGAGGCCGTTCCCCACCACTAGTGGTGCGGATTTAGGGTTGTCGGCCACAGACTGACCAGCACTCGCGGCTACCTTAGTAGCCGAAGCATAGCGCGTGCGCTTGCGCAATTGGCCTCTGGCCTTAAGCTTGGCATAATCATACCGAAGCTTGCGTTCAAGACGCACGTCAGCCACACTGGCACTAGCCCTTAGAGCAAAAATGTTGCTGAGGCGACGCACATAGTGCGTCCAGTGAACAAAGGCATCGTCTTCTTCGCTCACGATTTCTCCTGCGAACAAGAGAATGGGTATACCCTTGATCGGTGGAACCGGTGTACCACGCGCTTGCATGTCAAGACGTGCCTTGTATTGACTTTGAGTCGTTAGGTGCGGCTCCAGGTACCTCTCGCGAAGTGCCTGGCAGCTCACCACCTCCTCAGGAGTCTTAGGCTCATGGCCAATGACCCACGTTGCCAATGTTTGGCCGGCAGCTTGACGTAGACGTTCCTCCACACTGGGTGGGGTGAACACATAGTCACGCTGGCGTCCAAGGGTTGTAGCCATTTGTACATGACGCTGAGCGTTTTCTTCTCTTTGAACAAGCAGTTGTTGTTGCTCATCGAGCGGGTTCGTGATGATAGTCTCATCATACCCAGACGCTGCATACTGCGCTGGTGGCGCGCTCGCACCTCCACGTTCAGCGAACGGATTTGGGGTGTTCGAAGGTTGTGCCACAGGCATCAGTGAGCCGGACATTGTCCCTGTATCACCGCGGACACTGGTATCGCTACCATAGTCCACCTCCTCCTCTATCCCGAGGAAGTCACACAGAGCCTTTGACTAATTTGGTGATGAGGACATGGTGTTGGAGCGTACGTTACCGTGAGGTTCACCGTACGCGCACTGTTCTCGCTGAGAAAACAAGTTCGATTGACGTTCTGGCAAACGTCATCTGGTAGGGGAGGGTGTAACGGGGTTGCACGAAATTATGGTACGTTGTACCAGGGGTGTTACACACCTGAGGTTACCCCTTTGTGAAGGTGATATAGAATATATTATTGGTTTGTAGGGGCTGACGAGTGTCAGCCATTAGATACGAAAGATCTTTGAGTAGGATTAGGATATTCTATAGGCTTTAACAAAATAAAATCAGTTCCCATTTTGATCTGAAGGACACGTGGCTTGCGAGCCGTCTTGATCGTTGATCACTGATCACTAAGAGCTAGCGACACCTCCTTGAGGTAGCTACTCTTGAGCACTGAGTGCTGTCAATTCACTGAATCGTTAGGTCCCCCTGGAACAGGGATCTGAAGCTGTAAAGCTTGTTGACTCGTAAAGTCGTTAGTTCTTTGGAACTAAGTTGCTCGTAGAGCGTTAAGTCTTCCTCTGACTTAAGGGGCTGTGTAGCTCCGCTACACTGAAGCTTGTACAGGTGACAGTGCAAGCTACTTATTCTGATGACAGAATAAGGTGGTGCCTCGTAACTTCACGTACACTCGTACGTGCAGAGGAAGACGGTAAGAAGAAGCGAGTACTTGGTTAAAGTAAAAAGTAGAACTGTATTTAGCATAGTCAATGTCTGCAATAAATCACTATTTATCTTCATCTAACTATGTCTAAATACAAATGTGTAAATCAGTTATCTGATCACCACTCATTGCGTGCGTCTGTCGTGGCGCGTCTTCGTTGGTTGATATAATGGCCTACATCAACCAATTAGGAACTACTCGTAAGTGCAACATAATATTTGTCCTTATGACAATATTCTGAGAATATAACTCTTATAGTTATATTCTAATAACAATTTCTTATAAATTGTTATGTAACGATTCACCCCGTTACATCACCCCCCCCTTAACCATCAGTCACTTTAGTGACTGATTGACTAAATGGATACTCGTCCCAAATCATTTGGGACAGGGTTTGCACTTGTTGGTCCGCGTCCACTTTCCAACATCTCATCGCATGGTTAACAAGCCCATGCGATGCGCGAGCAAGGCCGCCGAGAGCGCGTCTGCACGTCTCTGTGCGGACGCCGAAGCAGAAACAACAGCAACTGATTTCCCATCGGTTGCTGAAGCGACCCAGCCTGTGTCACTTGGTGATGCAGGCGCTGGTCATGAAGACACTCGTGTCTTCACAGAGTACGAGCTCGGCGTCTCATACTCTCCTGATACGGAAGACGGATCCGTATCGACGGCGATTGAATCCAAGCCGCCTGCCAAGCGTGGCATGGATGATGCTTTGCGTCGCAGCATCTTTGGTTCATCTGATGAATCAGATGAACCATCGCCGAAGCGAAGGCGCTCGAGGTCGCGAGACTCGGGCGCTAACAGTGGTGTCGGTTCTCCTATGGACACCACTTCGCAACGAGGTGCCAGTACTTCTGTCGGCACATCGCAGGAAGAGCGGGATCGCAGTGTGTTGCGTCTCGCTCCTGAGAAGAAGGCATGGATGCCTCCTAAATCTTTCATGGATCACTTGTCGGCGACGACGAGTGATCGTTATCGAACAGGATTGTTCGATTCGTCAGGGATTCATCACCTTGACCCCAGCGCGAAAAACTATCGCGCTGAAAACGAATTCTTCATCGATGCTTTCTTTAGACATCGATGGTACAGTGGGAATCACAATCGTGATGGTCCCTCACTACTTCAAGCGTGGAACGCCTACATCCATAACCTTGAGGATGTAGGTCGTGACGCTTGGAACGACAAACTTATCAAAGCTAGTGACAAGTTTGAAAAGCGAACCCCGACAAGTGCACGCTACAAGCTGCATCGTCTGTCAAGGGAGAAGGGATTACCCTGCCTCTCTTGGGGAGACTCGTGCCCGTGTTGTGTGAACAATTCTGCACGAGCACCTAAGGAGGCTTACCTCCCTAATAGCCCGTGGTGGAGCGTACGTATCTCTACTGAGATGTACGAAGGAATTGACAACCTGAAATCCCTTTACGACCGTGCCGGGAAGACTTTCTCCGGCGGTCCTTCTGCGGCACAGGATGTGCCGCGTCGTACTGGTCAACCAGACCCAGTACGTCAATCATCAGTTGGGAGCGGGGCTCCCAAGTATCCCAGGACGGGGGATAGCCGCGCCACCGGACAAGATAACTCGTCCGACGTCCGTTCACGTCGCGGTGGTTCAACAGCTGCTCAACTAGATAGCGCTGGCCACCGCGAGAGTCCTCTAATAGAGGTGGAGGAGGAGGAAAGACGCTCTCCACACGATCATGGGGATCCGTGTGTTCCCGAGAGCTTCTTTGATCGCGTAACGCAAGGGTTACGCAACGATCTCGAACATGAGCGGAATAGGCGTCTCCAAATGGCGGACACTGCCTCGAATCATCGAGCTGAGTTTGCCTTTGCTCAGCTTGAGAACGAGAGAGCTCTGACATCTCTTCGTGACGAGCTAAGGGTAGCTCGTGGGATTGTTGATCGGTCTCGGGATGAGATAACTGCTCTTAAGACCCTTGTCGATGCCCACCATCGGGAGCACAAGGCTCTCTGCGAGATGCTTGAGCGCAAGGGCGTTCTTCATCGGAAGAAGCAGCGTACTGATGTTACGGCTTAAGCCGACCAACGTAAAACGTGGGATGCGTTCGCATCTTACGTGGTAACTCGATCGTGTATGCATTGCCTAGGCGGTGCAATACACGAAATGGTCCGATGTACTTGGGTAGTAGTTTACTGCTACCCAAGTTAGTCACTACATGCTTTGGTAGATTAACCGTAGACAGTAGGACTAAGTCACCTTTATTAGATGAAAGAGTGTTTGCCCTTCCATTCTTGTCAGCGTTTTGCTTTTGCTTGTCCACCGCTTCGGCGATGGAGTCTTGCACAAAACGGACTACCGTTTCACGAGCCAGTATGAACTCATCTGATGACTTCTTGGCTTCAGTGCGCTGTGAGTGCACTGCAGCAACATCAACCTTTTCTTCAGTGAGGGCTTCCGCACTCTCACTGGCATCATCTTCTTCGATATCGATGTTATCGATATCGGCATCAAACGCAATGACCTCTTCGTTAGAGCGTGATGAGCGTGAACCAAATCGGTTTTTGCTCGCGCGAGTCCCTCCCCCCCCTTAAACCAGAGTTACACTCTAGTAAGGTGGGTACGCGCGGATGGCGCAAGCCATTCACGTAAAACGGTGTATGTGTCGTGGACGCATGCACCGAGTTGTTAATGGTAATCTCTACCATTGGCAAAAACTCACTCCAACTCTTAAAGGAGTGTACGCATCCTCGAAGTATCTCTTCAAGGACACGATTGGCACGTTCGGTCTGAACATCTGACTCTGGATGATCAGATGTCGACATCTTCACGCGCGTTCCGAGTGATTTGAACACGGAACGCCAGAAATCAGCAGTGAATCGTGGATCTCTGTCTGATACGAGTTCACGGGGCAACCCATGAAGTCGGAAGATGGTGTCAATAAAGACACAAGCACAGCCACTTGCCGTGATTGTCTCTGGTACAGCCACAAGGTGTACCATTTTGCTGAATCTGTCAACAAATAAGAGAATACCCGTATTCCCGCGTGCGTCTTTGGGTAACCCGAAGACGAAATCCATTGAGATGGATTCCCAGCACTCAGCCGGAACCGGTAGAGGCTGTAAAGGTGCACGCAGTGAAGGACTTGACTTCACTCGTTGGCAGACTTCGCATGCGCGAACATACTTTCGCACAAACTGATACTGACGGGGCCAGTAAAAGTCTCGACTCACCGTGAGATATGTTTTCTCTCGGCCACGATGTCCTCCTATAGGAGCATCGTGATACTCGAACATGATCCGCAAACGCAGATCAGTATCATCTGGAATGACAACACGTGGTGTGTCACCAGAAACGGCTGTATAATACAGTAACCCGTTGCGAGTAGTGTATCGATCTGATGCAGATCGATACGCAGACGACAATCGTTTCAACGATTCTCGAGATGGTTGGGAGAGTTGTGTCAAAAACTTCACAATCTCACCATCTTGGGCGTATGCCCGCCTCACATCATCATACAACGTTGTAGATGGGACTGAGGACGTCATAACCGCAACAGTGACTGTCTCACTGTTGGGTTTCGCGACTGTTTCAAAGTCGGGACGACGTGAGAGTGCATCAGCGACGACATTAAGTCGTCCTGGTTTGTACTCGACCGTAAAGTTGTATTCTGCAAAGAATGACAACCACCGCGCCATTCGTTGTGAAAGGTGCGGGCTGTTCACTGCCGTGCGTAATGACGCATGGTCAGTGTAAACAATGAAGGGTCTATCTCCTGATAGATAGACTCTGAACTTCGCGAGTGCATACTTCATGGCAAGGAGTTCCTTGTCATGCACTGGATAGTTCCGCTCAGTTGGTTGCATCTGACGCGACTGATAGCAGACGACGCGTTCAACGCCTTCTGGGTCGTACTGCATTAATGCACAGCCGATTGCGAAATCGCTGGCATCACAGACCACATGAAATGGCATGTCCTGATCGGCTATTGCTAGGACTGGGGATTGTATCAAGCTCTGCTTGATACCATCAAAGGAGCGCTAACATTCAGCGTTCCATAACCACCTCTCGTTCTTTTTCAACAAACGAGAGAGATGCACAGTCATCTCGGCGTAATTGCGTGAATACTTATGCAAATACGCCGCTAGCCCAAGGAATTTTCGAAGACCTTTGACATCAACCGGCACAGGCCAGTCGGTGATCGCCTTGATCTTTTCGGGATCAGGACGTACACCGTTCTTACCAACGATGCACCCAAGAAGTGGTATTTCGCTTGCTGCAAATATACACTTCTTGAGGTTTGCATACAATTGATGCTTTCGCATGATTGTAAGAACCTGTCGGACGTGGTACCTGTGAACCTCAACGTCCGACTTTCCATCCATAGCTCTACTATGGATGAATACGTCATCGAAATAACCCGGCGCGAATTCTCGTACTGGTCTCAACAGATGTGATACACATCTGTTGAACGTGGCAGGGGCATTACTAAGCCCTTGTGGCATTACTAGCCATTCCCAGAGCATGCCGCTAGGCGTGCTAACTTCGGTATAGGGTATATCCCGTTCTCGCATAAGGATTTGATAGAAGCCATCCATCAAATCCATGGACGAAAATATGGTACTCTTTGACATACCATCAATGATTACGTCCTTCCTCGCTATCGGCGTCTGAGCCGGTACCGTTGCAGCATTCAACTTGTTAAATGCATGCACTATCCGCCACCCTCCTGTTGCTTTTCGCACACAGAAGGTCGGAGAGCTATGTGGGGGAGTTGATTCCCTCACATGGTCCGCAGCTAAACAATCCGCAAAGAACTTGTCGATCGCAAGTACTTGTTCACGAGGCAGTGGCCACTGCTTCATGACACAGTACTTCGAGCCTGGTTTAAGCTCGACCTCGTGTCGAATACCTTTATCCTTCGGTAATTCGCACGGGACAGTTTCAGGGAATACATCCTTGAATTCAACCAAATCTTCATAGAGAGGGATTTGTCTTGAACGATTCCCACGATTGGGAGTCATATCGCTCAATTCGTGTCTTTTCATCTAGGACACTCTCGTCCATAGATGAACTACTGAGAACTCTCTTGTTCTCAGTGAACACTGTTGCTGACCTTATGTCGGCTACACACTCGTCGTCAGCGACGAGTACGCAGATCTGCTTGAATTTGCCACTACGCAGATCACGCAAGAACCTTTTATGTTCGAGCATTGGCAACTGAGTGATCTCCGAAGTCAACTTCGGAGGCGCAATCAGATCAAGTGTATAAGCGCCTACACTTGATCCGTTATTGACTATGACATTCAATGTCTCTGTCAGTTCCTGGGGACTTATTCCCTCAGGCCTCGAAGGACTTATTCCTTCGGCTTCCCGGGGACTTATTCCCGCGGGTTTCGGGGAACTTATTTCCGCCGTATTTGTAATATCGGGACTTATTTCCTTAACTTCCTCTTGCCGGGGTTGCGCAACCACAGCGAGATCCTCTACGAAAGACTCTCCAGTCAATCTAGGATTATCGATTCGCTTAACCTGAGCGATCGATTGTTTCTATTCTAGATGTTCCCCGCTAGGGATACATCTTTGTCCCGGTCCACTCGACTTATTCGAGTGGTGGACCTTCGGCGCAGCCTGTGTTTCCTCACAGCCACCGGAACTTTGCTCCGAAGTGTAACCGTTTGTTACACTAAGGTTTTGTGCAGTCGTACTAACGACCGTACCACAAGTGAGGCCATCGCACTCACTCGTAGTACATACACACGCTTGTGGACGCTCCAAAAACGTTCATCAGATGGGCATCTGATGAACAAGCGGCAGGTATCGTTACTGTTCGATGTTGCCAGTTTACCCGTGGTTCGTACCTTCTGAGCCACGGTATTCCAAGGATGACATCAAATTTGTCATCCAAATCCAATACGATAAAGTCATCGTCATGTTGGGTATCTTCTAGCGTATAGTGGATCTTCACTATACGCTTCATGGCGGTTACGAATGCGCCTGTCGCAAGACGTACCGTCATCCTCGTAGGAGGTGTGTCACATTCACTGAACTTAAAGTGATAATCTTCTAGCGATTGGCGTTGCACAAAATTGTTAGACGCTCCACAATCGACTAGAGCTCGAAGGGGCAACTTATTCGTCACTTCGAGTTTCAAGGTAATGAGTGAGATCTTATTACCTAGAGCAGCAACGCACAACGTTTGTGTGTTGGGAGCAACCTTCATCAAGAGGCCCACAAATTCTCTTGACGTTGCTGGACCAGTAGGGTGCTCCGCACCTACTGATCCTGTCCGTTTTTTGACGGTCCATCCCGTTGTTGCGTCTTTGCACCAACAGCGGACCCGCGTCCCTGCCCCTTTCTCATGGGTGGACGGTCACTACGCCCAGTGTTGCGAGACACTGGACGAGGGGCACTACACTCGTAAGCGTAGTGTCCTGTCTTCTGACATCTGTTGCATTTCTGCAACTTCTTGTAGTCTGTAGAGCGATCCTTCTCGCTCTCTACATAACAGAGTTCCATCGGCTCTGGACCTCCGCTGTCATATCGTCTCGGTTGACGATACGATGTCGAGCTGGCGCGAGCCTGTCTCAGACTGAAGCCTTCCTGTTCCTCAATGGAAATGGCTTGTTCTAGTGAATCTAGTTCAAGCCGGAACAGGTGAGTCTTGATGGGACCATCCGCAAGACCCTGCATGAACACATAAACCAACGTGTGTTCATCCACCGGATTGGAACTTATACAACTCGTGAGATGTCGTATGTGTTGCGCGTAAGCGTGCACATCACGCTTACCTTGTCTGAGCTTCAAGAGTTCAGTTCGAGCTCTGAACTCAGCTCTAGGCGGTGCCCAAGTCTTGGCACGTCCTGCCAGATTTGACTGGGCAAATGCAACTTGCATATCCCCGTCGTCGATGCGACGCGCCCTTGTGGCGTCATCCAATTCGACGAACCATCTCAAGAGGGGGTCCTCTTCGACTCCCCTATACTTGGAGATGTCAATCTTCAAGGTTTCGGGTCGACGCGAGTGCATCGACCCACCAGCAGCAGCCTGCTGCTGTCTCAACAGTTCAAACTGTTGAGCACCCTGTTCTCTCAACAACTCTGCTTGTTGAGAACCTTGTTGGTGAAGCAAGGCTACTTTCTCGCGTTCAGCGTCAAGTTCATTTTGAATGAACTTGGCGATAGTAGCATGTTGGGCGTCTCTATTGAGAGCCTCTAGCATGACGCTAACAGCATGGATGACCATGGTTGAACCCATCCGTTCAACCACATCCCATTCGATATCGCATAAATGGGAGTAGCCGTCACGCGTAGCGTGAAAGCTTTGGTCATCTTCATCATCTAACATATTCATGTTAGATGTGAACGCGGTCCTTGGACGGACTACGAAGTGCTACCAGGTGTAACGGGGCACCCTGAAGCTTGTACTGATGACAGTACACGCTACTTATTCCGATGACAGAATAAGGCGGTGCCTCGTAACTTCACGTACACTCGTACGTGCAGAGGAAGACGGTAAGGAGAAGCGAGTACTTGGTTAAAGTAAAAAGTAGAACTGTATTTAGCATAGTCAATGTCTGTTAATAAATCACTATTTATCCTCATCTAACTATGTCTGAATACAAATGTGCATATCAGCTATCAGCTCACCACTCATTGCGTGCGTCTGTCGTGGCGCGTCTTCGTTGGTTGATATAATGGCCTACATCAACCAATTAGGAACTACTCGTAAGTGCTACAAAATATTTGTCCTTATGACAGTATTCTGAGAATATAACTCTTATAGTTATATTCTATTAACAATTTCTTATAAATTGTTATGTAACGATTCACCCCGTTACATTAACGCTCTACGAGCAACTTAGTTCCAAAGAACTAACGAATTTACGAGTCAACAAGCTTTACAGCTTCAGATCCCTGTTCCAGGGGGACCTAACGATTCAGTGAATCGACAGCACTCAGTGCTCAAGAGTAGCTACCTCAAGGAGGTGTTGCTAGCTCTTAGTGATCAGTGATCAACGATCAAGACGGCTCGCAAGCCACGTGTCCTTCAGATCAAAATGGGAACTGATTTTATTTTGTTAAAGCCTATAGAATATCTTAATCCTACTCAAAGATCTTTCGTACCTAATGGCTGACATTCGTCAGCCCCTACAAACCAATACGATATTCTATATTACCTTCACAAAGGGGTAACCTCAGGTGTGTAACACCCCTGGTACAACGTACCATAATTTCGTGCAACCCCGTTACATTCAGGGTGCCCCGTTACAACAGCGGTCACATCCCAACTTTTGGGCGCTAATTTGTCACGTCGTTCCTGAAGCACAGTCAGCTCTAACGTCGATTTCCCGTTAAAAGCTGACGCCTATAAAAAAGATAACTCGTGGCGAGCTGCAGTCGCGCCTAACCTCTCAAACTGTAGACAAACATGGAACGTTATACTGTCATTTAGAATATCGCGGAACGCTGCAAATCAGGGCTGGAGAAATTCCGATTATTTTGGCGAGGCAATCAGGGTTGTGGGTTAATGCACCAAAATCCGATTTTTTTAGCAAAAACCATAATTTTACTTGGCGCGATGAGCGGGCACCTACTGAGAAGATTTACTGCTGTAAGAATCGTTATCGTTGTGCATGTAGTCGTAGAAGGTTGGAAGGTTACTTTCAGTAAACGTCAGTCCATCGACTCGGTTTGAGTTGAGGCACTTCCTTTGCTTTGTGTGAATGTTGCCGCAACCACGAACTCGGTACACTGAATGCCAATGATCCGCGCTCGTATTTCATCGAATAAATCTCAGGGCTCTTCATCTTCAGAAAACTTAACCAAGGGCGTCCACCAGCTATAAACGGTTGACACTCGGCAGTCCTCCTCCGATAAAGCACGAGAGTTGACGTGTACCTTGGCCCTTTCGCTTTTAGTGCATGAATTCGGCACTCTTGGCATTCAGTGAAGACGCATCATCGATAAACCAGCTCCAGACTTCGCTAGCAGAGTGATCGCGTTCCTGTTTTGGCGCCCGGACTTTCATGTCGAGACCATCCTGAAGTCCAACTTGGCAACATGTGCGTCTTGCTGCTGAAGGTCGAGAACGTCGTCGTTAAAGTTATCGACATGCTCCTTAAACTGACTTAACGAAAACGACGATCGCGACCCTGTAGCAAGTACAGCTAGAGGATGCTAATCTTGCTAACATATTGACGATAAATTAAATTTGCTGGCTTCCTTGCAGTTGCAGGTATCGGCGGTCGACCGGATCGTGCGTGGGTCACACCATTATCGAAAAATAAAGCCTAACAAAACTGATTTTATAAGATCACAGACTGTCGGGTTTTAGTAAAAACCAATCCAGCCAGATTGTAAAATACCACTTGGTGCCAGCACTGCTGCGTACATAAGTGAAGAATTACGAACAATTTTACAAAAAGCGTCATGGAGACAAACGACGAGCTGCTCAAGACGCTGTCACTCCAGGAGAAGCTCACGTATTTCTACTGCCAGTACGTGCACGAAGAGGCGGTTGATCCAGAGGTTGATGGTGACGCAGCGTGTCTGTGGGAGAAGGTAATGGCGTCTCGGCGCAAATCCCGTGAGCGCGTGTGCATTTTACTGAACCAAATGGAAAATACATCGGCAGTAAACGTGCGCACGCTGGACAAAAGTTACCGCGCGAAACGTGAACTGTTGCTTATATCAGAGGGGACGATACGTACGACAGGAAGTAGCTCTTTGTCTGGGCGTGGAGGTGCTTTGGTACAACTGGAAGTTGCTCGAGCAAATAATGAGCTATTGCAGGAGTGTGGCGCTCTCTCGGTCTTTACGGAGAGGCTGCAGCGCTCGATTCATGCTTTTCGAGGACTGAATTTCCAGCATTTAGATCTGGATCAAGTGGATACGCTGATTAAAAACTTGCAGGAAGACATGGTGCTGGTGTATCTACTGATCGTTTTTAACTCACACAAGAAAAACGCAGTATTTGAACGCCAGCTCGTGATGTTTGCGATCATGGATCCGTCGTTCTCTCTGGTATCAATTCTCGACTGTCTGAGCCAGCTCAATGTGCTACCTGGCTTCCCGATCAAGCGGCTGCTTTTACTGTTCTATGAGCTGTTTTCGGTTGTCATGGGTGGGTTTGACGAACTGAATGCACTCAAGCGATTGCGCCGCGAGCGGAGTGACATCGATGAATCCATTTTGAAGGACGATGCAGAAGGTGTATTGCATTGCAAGACGTCTAAACCGTATGTCGATACGATCCAGCTGGATGCACAGGACCCGCATTACTTGCAAAAGAAGAGATTTGCAAAAAAGCGTGAAGAAATTCACAACAAGTACTTGCATAGAGCCAACTACGAGCTAAAAAGCCAGCAGTCGAGTGATGCCGATTTGGCTACGCAGCCACTGGATACGCTGGATTATGAATGGGAAGAGCGTGTAGAAATTTTGTATCAGCTCTTCTTGCCCTGCATGCGCGAGTATACTACGTTCCTGGGAAACCTCGTGACGTTGTCCTGCGGCAGTGCTTTAAACGCGCGCGACAAAAAAACGTTTTACTCACGACGACCATCGAGCGGCGACCAATACAGTATGGCTGACTTTTCTACGCCAGGCAGCGAGAATACCAACGACAATCAATTTTGGAAGTGGATTCTCCGCGAGAAAGCAATTGTATTGGATGTGTCCAACCTGATCATTCTGCTAATTTACAAGCACTTTCGTGCAAGTCATGCGTGCAAGGCGGAATACTTCATGCAGTTTTTCTTGGAGGCCAACGTATTGGCGACAATGACCAAATTCATGAACAAAGATATAGGCACGTATCTCCAAGTTTCCAGACAAGAATTGGATGACTCTAAGACAGGGTTCTACGCACTTGAAAAGGAGCTGGACAAACGCACTATTCGCTTCGAGGAAGACATGAACGAATACGCTATCCAGTCGACAAGAACGATTACGAGCATATTGAGGATTCTGCAGAAGCTGACTAAGAGGAAACCTAACATCATCAAGAACGCCCTGTGTCGAGGGCAGACAATTGTCTGGTTGAAGGTATGCAAGTGTCATTGTCGAGCTGCACTTAATATTGCTGACTGTTTATGTGTCCATGGAACAGCGCGTGGTATCTCTTCAGATCCCATTGCCACGCCTGTATGCATTGAAGTTGGTAAAGTCGCAGGCGAAATATTTAGGCCACCAGGTTCGTTGCGATGATGTTTTTTCGAGAATGCACGTCGTGCATTTATTATGAGCATCTGCCAAATGCGTACATGTGCAAATTAGTAACGCTGGTTGTTGTTGCGTTACACGCAGTGGGTAAAGAAGTACACGTGCTTCAGTATGCTGACAGATGTGTATCTGCACGTGCGACCCCAGTTGGATGACGATTGGTTGCACTACGAGGATGAGGATTTGAACAAGCCTCCGTTGCAGGATTCGGTGGAGAGGATTGTTTTCGGCGAGATGCAAGCATATCACCACAAACATTACTTTGATTCACCTTTCGGGGGTGGTAAGCTTCTTCCTGGCGGGGCTTCATTGATTTGTGAAGACCGCAAGGAGCTCCGATCAGACTCGTTCATTCAAGATGGTGGACGTTTGGCGAAACTGTACATTGATATCAAGCTGGAACCCAATAACTTCTGCAAACAGTACGAGAAGTGGCTTGATACCGAGGGCCTTACACGTGACTTGGATGCGGATGCGATACCGCTCCCCATTTCATTTCAGTGACAACTTATTGACATTGTTTGGACGTGGTGGTGCTATGCATATCTTCAACTTCAGCGATTTGACTGGTTTCGAGCGAATGATTGATCATTATTTCGTTCAGTTGTTCTTGTACGCGGGTTCTACTTTTATAGGTCGTGACGCAAGAACCTATTGAGCAACACGCTGCGATGATGAGATCTGATAGACAAGCATCATTGTCGAGTACTTTGCTCGCCGGAAGCTATCGAACTGGTAGTGACGCTCTTCACAATTCTTCAGCATATCTGGACGGCGGTCAAGAAACTGGCAAGAAATCTCTGCTTTCTCCGTCTCATCATTGCTGCATGCTTCCTCGAAATCGGGTGGGGTCACTTCAGTAAGTGACATCACCTGCCCCGCAGCATCTACTGCCGTGGCTGCCGCTACTCGACACTTGGCGCAGTAGTAAATGTCTCTAGTCTCTATTGCGCCCGCTCGCCAGTAAGTGGTGTTGACTATTAGCTGATTACAAGCGGCGCACGTCGGTTGCAGGACGATGACAAACAGTGACTCGCGGGCAGCCTTCACCAGTTCACCGACTCGCTTGCGGAATTTTTCGCTACACACGCCTGCAACATCAGGTTCTTTTTTTCCTCTCTTTCGGGGTGATGCGGCAATTCGCTCAGCCTCACTCGGCCAAAAATCACCGTCAAAATAGGGAGGAAGTTGCGTGTCAAGGGTATCATCCAACTTCTCAAACTCACGAGAGTACAAATCGTCGCATGCAAAAACGACGCCTAGCTCCATTGCCTTTCTGGACATTGTCAGGTACCACTGAAGAAGACGCTCTTTGCCAGGATTCTTCTGAAAAGAGGGATGGCACCAATAAATAAAATCACCTCCGCGCGTAGTTGGACATGCCCAGATGTGCGCGTAGTCAAACCTTCTACTTTTGCAGAAAGCCAAGTATGAGATGAGGGTCTGGTGGAACAGGCTCGTCCGCACGTGCCGCGGACGCACGTATACCAAGCTATCCAAATACGCAATATAAGTCCGGTTGCGGTTGGAAGGTAGTTCGCAGTGCTTATCGTACTCCTGAACATACCTGGCACGACATCAACGAAGTTAGTTTTGACATCAATGGCCTCTACATTGCGATAAGTTAGTGGTCGTAGAAAGGCGAAAAGCACATACATTGAAAAAATGCAGACTTCGATGCCGCTGATCATCTGGAATACAAAGATGACCTTTGACGTATAGCCAATCGTTTCTGGGTACTAGCAACACCGATAATAAATATTAGCCAGCGAGAAGACACTCACGGCCTCATAACAATAAAGATTACCTCTTGAAATGCAGACCGAAAGTTTTCGCGCACGGCTGCGCTAACGTGACAAGAAACCTCGATTGAAGATACCACCTTCACAACGATCGACTTTGCTGCTCCGTGCTCGCCGAGCGCATTAAGGTGATGCCGTACCCACTTTTGCATAAATCGCGACAAATTACACGACCGCAGGCTTTGGCTCCTCATATACCCTGCAGAGGTGCTGGCATTCTCAGCGTCTAACTCTGGTCGCGGCAAAGTGCCAAACGCCTTACCGTCGCTTTCTCCACCAAACTCCAGAGCTCGCGTAAAATGTGAGTCATACCGTCTGCATTTCAGTGCAGGACTATGCAATTGCAAAAACCCATGCTCCAGTTTTACCGGAAAGTCCTCGACGGACGTAACGATCGGAGACATGATACTCCCAGCATTCTTTTCCAGAGCATCGAGCTCCTGAAGACGGCATAGTGGACACATATACAGCACTTCTTCTTCGTTCTCGTCACCATTCTCGCAGGCGTTAAACAGCGCGCAAATCTGGTGCACCCATCCATTACAGTAATCACACTGGACCCATGGCTCCGTGAGCTCATCCATAAACTTGGCTTTTAGTAATTCAAGCTTGGATATTGCATATTCCGCCATCACCGTCGACTCCTGCTTCAGCTTCATCGTCATAGAAGAAGCAGTCTTCAGCACAAGCATCTTCGGCAACGAAGCATAGCACTTGGTACACCAATGGTAGTGTCCATCTGAGCTCTTGTAATACACGGCATTGCGCTTAATGCGCTGTCGACAGGCACCTGAACACACGACAAAGGGTGGTTCAAACGTCACGCACTTTTCCTTGCAAATGCTGCAGACATTGTCCAGACAGTAGAGACACGAGTGGTCATTGCGGCGTGTGGCCAGACTGTCCACTTTGACCTGGTACTTGGCAAAGTCCGTCTCAAACTCCTTTAACAACACGACCGCTGCTTCGTGCACCACGTGTCCAGGTGGATTAAACAGACACGCGTTGGTAAACACCAGTCGAACATCCGCAGCGCATTCGTCCGCACTCGCGTACTCCAGATTCATGCACTTGTTCTTCACGAGCGTCAAGTCCATTGGCTGTTTCACCACTTCGAAATAGTGGGGAATGTTCCAGACGAGCGGGTCGACTCGGACATTGAAAAAGCCGTGGTTGCGCTTGTGGAACATGAGCTTCGAGACTGTGGCCACGAGCGGCCGCAGGAACAGCTCCCGACGCACGTCACTCAAGTGCTGGCGGATCTGCGCAGCCGACGCAACGTTCAGAGGCGACAACGCGGCGCTGCGACGGCGGCTCGGGGCGACGGCGGGCGTTTCTGCTTGAGTGGCGGCGTCGTCCTGGTCCTTGCACTTGAGCTTCTTGTTGCATGGGGAAGCGAGCGGTTCAACGTCGTGGGGCGCGCGCTTTACGCCATGCGGCGGCGCGGTTGGCTCGGCGGTGAAAGATCGTGTGTCGTTTGAACCCATCGAGGTGGGAAGTGCGTGGGAATGTTGGTTTTGGCTTGCGGGTTGTATGCACCGGGGTGGGTTTTTTTCGGCGCAAAGGGCTCGCTGAACGGTGGGTTTGTTGGCGTGGAAGTGTGAGGGGGAAAGTGGATGGCGGGAAACAGGGCGGGGGGGTGAAAGGCATACCAGGATCAAGTCAAGGGACGGGGCGCGCGTGTCTGTTTTTCTCGAAGAAGATCTTACTGTGCGCTGATTGGCGAAACTATCTGAGACGGGTTTCGTGGACGTGGCGCAGAGAAAGTACTGGTTTGGCAAAACCCGTGGCTGCGACCGATCGGCTTGCTGCTATTTAGCTGAAGCAAAGACACAACGTGAACGCCCATAACTGTAGACAACGATTACACGGGCAAAGACAGTTGCTATAATTAATTCAAGAAGCGATCGTAGCCAAAAGCTGGACTCCTTATACTGCTTCGGGTTACACAGCAGCAAAGATCGCCTGTTCGACTTGTTGGCGTAAGGTGGCTTTTCAAATAACGCACCCTTTCCGAGTCGAACTTTACAAAGCTTTCGGTGTGCTATTGTACGTGATGTCTTGGATATACTCCCATTTAGCAAACTACACGCTTTTGACTAGATCTTTCGACTGTTCTCGATGTTGATGGAAGTGATAAGTAATCGTGCTGAATAGTAGTCTCATCTGTTAATCCAGGTCATTGGCAGATTAGTAGAGCAGCTACCGTCAGACTGTTACCTGTCAGCTGCTTGACTGGTGGCCAGACCGAACGCACGAAATACTGGTAGAGCGCAAAGACAAAAGGTAGATCGGCTGATATTTACTTCACTGCACGCGCAGGATGGTATGGATTGGTGGATGGTGGTCAATCGCACTTTGTGTTGGACTAGCATTTGACGGGGGGCTATGCAGTGAGAGTTGGTCCGTGTATTACTTGATCGAGAACGTCTAGGTACAGATTGAGGCAAGCAGCAAAGTATAAAAACATTAACGACACTTGATAAAAAGAAAACTCTATTTCTAATGCATCTTTGACGCGATGTGTAAAAGCATGGAAATCGTCCACTTTGTGTGGCTGAGTGCGCGTGTCAACAAAAGCTTCCTTGTTTGTGGCTACAATCTTGTTGACGTATCAACGTCACCAGACACTACGTACGTAGACGCAGGCTCTGTAAGAAGCTTTCGAATCTTCCTAAAATTTGCTTCCGTAAAAAGATGCGAGTGGGACCAGAGATAGTACGAGAGTTGCTACTGAGGTATAGACACGACCTTACAAACAAGAGGTTCGACATCATAAAATGTGGAATCGAGCTGTGTCCACGCTCTTCTATTAATTTGCACTCAGAAACTTCCAGTGGATATCACATTCTCTGTAGAACTACAATTGAATCTATGCAACGCCGTAGACTTCGATGAATCGCATGAGTCGAATAATGCGAGGAAAAATGTATACGATCATTTCTTTATGCGTGACAAAGCGTATGCGAAGTCCATACCAGCAAACAGAGTGTAAAGATTTCGCGACCAAGAGCAGCCGAGAAGCGCGTGCGGAAGTCCATGCGGCGGCTACGATGGATCGGAACTTATTACAACGACATGAGATAAGAAAGAAATACATATCGATTCGGATGGAGATTGCGATTTTAACTGCAATGGTAGCCAACGAGGCAGTCGGATTTTTTTAGATAGCGCACGCATCTATTTCACTGCTACTGCATATCTGTTGCTGCTCCAATTAGTTCCGGATAAACGCAACTGTCCGTGTCATTGCGACTATTGATGTAACGAGGCACTGTTCACTATTACCGCGCGTCCCTTCACGTACACCGTACGTGCAGAGGAAGGCTAGCTGACGCGTTCAATAGGAGCAGAAAGTAAAACTGTACTAAGTCAATTAAGTCCCAATCCATGTACCTCTGTTTTACTTTTAAAATTATATTTTCTACAGAATTGTATGCTAAAGTCTTGCTCACCAATAATTGCGCGCGTCCATCGTTAATTGGACCGCTAGAGCTGGCTGATATGATAGTTCGTCCAGAGCACAAACAGCTCAGCACTACTAGATTAAAAAGGCTGGAAGTAAATAAGGTCCTTTATTTGTAAAGTAATCATATTATAAGCGTACATCGATACGCACTCTGTTTTGGCCAGATACCCGTCTGATCATATCATCACGCAATTTCCTCGCTCTTGTCATAATGAAGAATAAAGGTAAGGGTACAAAGTATTGTTCGAGATGGAAGATAATTATAAATGCAAAAGAGAGAAGATCGTTTCATTTTTCGATTCGATATTTATTTTGTTGCTTTTAAAGCATCTCCACCGGTTCACTTCATCCAGTGCCACGTCTCTATTTTAAAGTAGATCTAAAGCATTTGTGTCCCCACCACACCGCTTAAAGATAAAGGACAAGCTCTGGAGCTCGCCATTTGGTACAAGCAACCCAGTTTGTAGAACTGAATCAAGTAGCAGACAACATAAACAGCGGCAGTCACTGAACAAGTGTTGGAAAAACGACATGTTGAAATATGTTGCTTTTGGACAAAGCGTGGTTTTCGCTCATGCTTGATGGTGCATAGAGCATTGTGAAAGTGGGTTGTACATGAAATGGTTGGTAGGGAGAAAACCTGCGGGCAAGGGCAGCTGAGGACTAACGGTAGCCATAGGTTGTAAAGGTAAACTCAGCATCAATACATCTAACTGTCACTCAAGTCCTTCCGCCTAATAAGAAGGACTAGGATGATTAATGTCCAGATAAACCCAGAGGTGTAGCCAATGCGACTCGATCAGCCTTGCTTATGAGCTTCCAGTGTTTGCTTTCACGATAACATTCACCCTTAATCGATTTTAAGCCAATTACGTTCGTACGTCACAATAGTGACCTATCCAAAAGTAACTTTGTGTGCACCTATATACCTACGAGAAGGGGACATGATTAATCGTACTTGGTACGTGTAAGGTACACCTAACCGTATTAAGTACAGACACTAACAGGCACAAACAGATAAGTACGATTTGAAAGTTCAACATTCAACCTTTCGCACAGGACTACCCGGACTATTGTAGCGTGATCCGGGACGTGCACAAGGACAACGAAAAAAGTACTTGAATTAAGTTTGCCGATTTAAGTAATGTTCTACGAGCTAAAGACCTATCCCTATAATCTTAGTCTTGACGCAAAGGGTCAGCTCTGCAGCTTGATGTTTGCCAATTCTCAACTTATCTCTCTTATTGCAAAATTCGTGACATCATGTTGCTCGACTGCACGTACAAGACAAACAGGTTTAACGTGCCCATGATTTATTGTGTAGGCGCCAACCCGTTCGCCGGATGAATTCTCATTGCACGACATTCATGCAGAGGAACGACGATAACAACTACACATAAGCTCTTACCGCTCGTAATATGGTGATCAAGTGTCGGAAAAATTACGAAAATTTGCACGTTCTAATCAGCAACTATGATTCGACTCTCTTAGACTCAGAGCAGCAAGTAATCCTGAATGTGAAAACAATAGTGCCGCTGGCACATAAATAACAATGTTGTTGTCGAGTTTATACTTCTCTTTACGAATGGTGATAAAAGGTACGAAACGATCGCGGATTGAAGCTCTCTCTGCTATGCATCAAGTGCAAAAGTTTCTTAAAACACAATGGGACAAGTTTCAGACCAAATAACGGCATCTCCCTGTCTTCATGATTATTTGATAGAACGTGAGTAAGCAAAAAATTAAACGCGTTAAAGCGTTGGTTGTAGCCGTCTTCCTTCTTGACTGTCCCACACATCTTGAGCGGTTTCAGTACATTCGTACCTGGAGCGCGTTTTTGCGATCGTCGATAGATGTCCTTTTTACTTTGTTTCAAAGTCTCCATCTGGCGATCGAGAACTGAATGGTGGCGCTGAACAAGATGCAAGCCGATGATCGCGTACAGCGAACAGCTTTTGTAGCAGCGCACACATTCACCCAGACTGTGTAGAGGTTTTGTCGCTTGCGCTCACCTCGTCCATAAATGCATTAAATCCCCCGATCAATTCAACACCAAGTTCCAAGTCACTTTTGGCCTACCGTGAAAGCACTATTTAAAAAGGAGCCGACGCGGATGCAACTTTGACGCTGGATAATCTAAACTATCATTGCTACTTGAAAATGTTCTCCCCTGCTTCTCCTGCATGGGGTCTAAAAACCAACGTTCGGGTAGATGGATGTGTACTATATATATTGTAAGTATTCTAAACAGCACCAACTCATAAAAAAATTCTTTTCAAGCCCCCACCACCACCACAACATTGATAAGTCCGACCGTGTCAGTGAGAGACCCAGTTGCAACGAAATAAAAAGGGGGCCGCCCAGAGCAACAAAGCGACGATATCAGCTGCTGGACCCGTCTGTGTCCGATCATGTCGAAATTCCGCTATCTTGATTCGGAAGTGCAGTATCTGCAAAAAGATAGGGGCACAACTAGCGCTCATGCTTTAATTTTGCGAGGTGTTGGGGATAGACAGTAACATACAGCGATCGTCGATTTGTTCAGAGGCGCTCGCACAGTAAAGCATATTTCACGCTTTATGGCTGGTGTATCATCGTGGAGTATACGTCACCATCTGCTCCGTTACAAACACACAAAACGAAAACAGCAAAACAAAACGTAAGCGCACCTGCTGTTCGTACGACACGAGAATTCAGTTGTTACCAATTACCTTGCTTTCAACATTATCAAAGCACTGCTATAGGGTCAATATTGCAGAACCCGAGGCTTTTTTTGTTCTTTTCGATTTTCTTCGTCTTACTCTCACTATTGGATTATGCAGCAAGATTATGTCACAGCAGACTACTCAATTCATTTACATCTCCAGCAATCTTTAACCTTAAAATGACGCGGAGACCCTTCTGCTAAGCGGTGGGTTGCCGCTTGATGTCGCGCTCGTTACCTAGATCGCTCTGCTGTCGCTCTCTGGCTTCATTTCTTTCTTATTCATCCTTGGAGATCATAGGCGCGCTCGTCAT